AAAAACAATAATAATAAATATATATATAGGTCATAATTTTAAAAAAATTACATCATAATAAGTATTATTGAAACATATAAATGAGATGTATATAATTTTGTTTTATAGTAAATAGTAACAAAAATAAAATTTGATAGTTAAGAATTTTCTTTTAAGTTTGAAACCAAAAAAATGTTCAATTAGACATATAAATGTTTGTCGAATTGAAATTATTCATTTCTACACTAAAAAGAAATTGACATGCAACTTTGTAATTAATATATGTCGACATTGTAAAACTCATAACTTTTTGATTGTTTGTGTTATGTTAATGATAATAATTTTAGTTTACATTTTTCTCTTTAAAACTCAAAAATTGATTTTTTTATTCGGCGACACCAAGTTATTAATTAAGCTCTCTTCCTCTTTCAATATAAGTCCATTCCCATCAGGATTATTGGAATTAAGATGATAAATGCATGTAAGAATAGCTTGAGGTCGAAACTTTCATTAACAATATGATTTTTTAGTTGACACGTCATTTTTTCTCGAGAATTTTCGATGAACTCCGTTACCTTCTATGTTTTCAGAAGAAGCGGAAAATCTCTTTCATTTTTTATTTTGTTTGTGTTTTTCTAATCGTGCATCTCAGAATTTTCAAAGGATCTTCATTGTAGCCAATTGCGTTTTTTTTGTTTTGAAAGAGCATGTGAAACGACAGAGTCCTTTTTTTGGATTAAGTTTTTTTATTATTATATAAAAAAAGTACTTATATATAAATAGATGACTATTTCTCGAGTTATTGAACTTGTCACCCTTTTCTGCTACATAAAAAGTAACGATTTAATAAAAAAAAAAGGTACTATAATCTGACATGTTCTTTCAAATCAAAAAAGGATCAAGTTGATAGAATGAGGGTTCACGGAGAATTTCGGATTACCGAATGAGGTATTCGTAACCGGTGTAGGATGAATATCTCCCGAAAATATCATGATACAGGACTGAAAATTTTACCACATGTTCCTCACTTAAAGAGTTGCCAGTTCATAGAAACGTGAATCCGACAGATCTAGATCCGAGTTTTTTTTTTTCATCAATATTCGGTACTCTCTGTGTACATGAACAAATGAAAGGTCAAGGTTTTAGCTATTTATTGGCTACTGTCAGAAAAAAAGTCAACGTACAGTTATTTCTTGTTGTTCACTTTCCCATCCAGGGAGCTGCAAGTCCATGTTTTCATGGGCTCGAACGCGAGTCCAGGTCTCAAAGGAGACGCAATTCCCTATCTTCTTCGTGACAGGTCTGATATATATAATGAAGATTTCATGCGATGTGAATGCATTTGAGTCAAGATTGATTTTTGAGGAGGGGACACTTAACAGACAGTTTCGAATTCTGACCGAGCAACTTCGCGTGACACTCTAATCTTATTTCTAATTGATAGATAAAAATCATTTGTAACCTATTCTTCGTTAATATTCAGACAGTTTTATTGTGATTTATATTATTATACTCACATACCTTTAAAAATCACATTACAACTGTCTATTCTAACTTGAAATTCATATCTCACTGTTTTGAGATTATTTTTATTATTGTTTCTTTTGTAAAATAAAATATATTATCTTTAGATGATAGTCATCTCGATATGTCATATGCAACAATTGAACATTATTTTGAAGAATCATTAAAATATGAATGTGCAAATAATTATTCTTCAGCATTAGAATCATGTCAACAAGCTCTATTACTTATTGAACAAATTCTTAATATAAATGATAATCATAATAATGGTATATCAATATATGCTCGAACAAAAAAGAACAGTTTATTATTAAGAATACGTTCATTACAAAAACGACAAATAGAAGAACAAGAAAATTTAACACAATTTTATCCATCAACTAATTCATTAATATCAACATTTAAACCTTTAGAAAAAAAATTAAAAAAAAATGAAAATATCTATGATAATAATATATCAAGAATAACATCAATACTATCATCAACATCAAAAATTTCACGTCCAAAAAAGAATGTTAAATTTTCTGATAATGTTGCATTAATTGTTCCAACATGTGATGATACAGATGAACCACCATCAGAACATTTAATTCATTCATTTTTAAGAAAAATTCATCAACAACAAACAACAACAACAACAACAACACCAGATTCGGATTCTGATACACCATCATTATCAAATGATATTCCAATTGGTTTAAGTGAATGTACACTTTGTCATAAACGTTGTTCAAAAAATAATCAAATTGGAGCTTATTGTTCTAATTGTCATTTTTATATGCAACGATTTCAACCAATGACTTCCTCTTAAAGAAAAACGAAAAAGAGAAAATCTTTTGTTTTTGTTTTCTATTTGTTGAATCTCATACATATATATATATATATTCTGGTGCTGATATTTTTCTTATTTATTCGTTTTTTTTCTGATTTGTTGTTAATATAACATGAATTATAAAAACGACATTTATATTAAAAAAAGCATTTTCTCTATTCAAGTTTTTTAGAAAAAAAAAACAAAAGTTGACTTGTCAAATCAATATTCTTGAATCGAAAATGTTCGACGAAGAAATAATCTTGAAGTTTCATGAAATTTTTTGAATGTATTGAGTTCAAACAAACTCCATTAGAAAATTGAATAATTGAGATATTTTGGAAAAGCAGAACGTGAAAAAGACAACATGATATAATGATAGTTGAAAGTTCTGAAGACAGATGTTCTTCATGATATTTACTAATAAAACTGTCTGAATTTAGTGATCTTATTTTAGCAGATATTATCTTTTTTTTGAAAAAGTATCGACATTTTAGAAAAGATAATGCATGAGTTTGAAAAAAAATTCATGTGACAAGACGTCCATTAAGGCTGCTGCATGAATCGATAGTTGCTTTGTCTGAAAATGATGTTGAACATCATTACATGATACTCGAAATAAATATCCAAAATATGCTTTCGATACAAGATGATGTTGCTATAATGAATTGATTGATTCTCTTTTCATATTGATTCTTTTGATAACACATTCTGAACGACTTATCTCGTAGTCATTGTGTGTTTCTAACTTTGGCAATGAAAAGAAAACTCAGCTATCTCAATGATATTGTACGGATTGTCAAAAATGGGTCTGAATAATTATCTTTTTCAATGCTTGAAAAGCCATCAATTCATGATAGTTAAGGGGAAAGAAGAATGGTGAATGCGCTACATAACTCATTTGACTAAGATCGACAAAGATAGACGATTGAAGTTTTCCATTTTAATATACTTCACCTTTATCGTCTAAGAATGTATACGATTGAGTATTAGTCATGAGACAAAAAACGAGCAGAATATTTTAGTGATGATACCATAATTATCAATGAGGAATAGAGACACAATATTTCGGATCTCCGCCTTCAAGATCTTACCTTTTATATGACAATTGTTCGAGTGTTACATACAAACAAATATATGAAATAATTTACATTTCTGTTGAATGTATGTCTGGCCATTGACAAGTACAAGTGAACATGATACATTTTCACTACACTGGACACTTACTATTAATCGATGTACTTAGACTGATAAATAGTAAAATCGTATGTCCGAGTGAAACCAATATAAATATTATCAACTGGTCCTATTCATTTTAAAGTACTTTTTGTCTCAAAAAATACATTCAAATTAAATACTGTTCGTAGTGAATTCCTAGTTCTTTGAAATCTATGATTAATCTTTTTTAACATAGAGTGTCTAGAAGAAACATAGCATGTTACTCAACGTGGCTTAATAGAGTTTATTATTTTATATTCATAAATCTATTTAGTCTTCTTAAGTGATTTTATTTGCACCTTAACTTTTGACAAATAGATAAAACTCAGTTAACAGAATGAATTCTTAACTAATCATTACCTGCTCTGTTTATGAAACAATTTCAATGCTTTCCCAATAATTCTTTAAATATTTTATGAAAGATAGTATTTCTAAACATTGAAGATAGTAGAACTTTTTTCGTTTAGCAACAAGGCCAAGTCCTTACTGATCCTACTTTTGTTACATCACTAGTCGCGATAGGTTTTATCTGATAAAGAGGTCATGTCTGAAAACTTGTTTATCATTCGGAACGATTTCCTTGTGAGATTTTCAACTAACTTGTGGTGTTGTACAAGAAAAATTGAAATCAGATAACGTCAGATATTTTAGTCGGTTGTAATTTATTTATAATCAAACTTATTGATCTGATTATGTTTTGCAAAAAAGTCTGCTTTTTAATTGATTTTGTTGAAGACTATTCGCATTTATGACATATTAATAAAAACAAATTATACTGGTAAATCAATGTTAACAATGACATTTATGATTAAATATATTTTTGCATTTATCATCTTAGTGAATTTTGTATTGTTTTTTTAAACACATCAATTTACATTTATTTTCATTAAATTCAAAACTAATATTGAAAAGTCTATCGAATCTTTCGTGCAAAACATTCTAAAATCCATCTCTCATGTTTCATTCACAAAAAAACAACTTTATGATCAACTTTCTACATAAAGTCAAATCAGAAAATTCACTATATTTAAATCTTATTTGTTAATAATAACACAAAAACAAAAAACTTTGTTCAATGTTTCTAAATGATAAATAGCCCTAATAAACTGCTAATTCTTTTAAAATTATTTGCAACAAGAAATCTATTTGAAAAACTTATAATCTACAGTTTATTACAACATCTTTTCTTTGACGATATATTCATCCTATCAAAATACATTTTACAAACGAATAAATTATAGTTTACTAACGTTCCATTAATTGTTATTAATCATTTTTGAACATAGATATTTTTATATATGGGAAAGTACGTATACGAATATACTCAATGATGAAGAAGAACTTCATTTAGATTAAAATTATTTTCTTTATAATTAATATCGTAAATGAATTATATTATCTTTTATTTAGCAGAAATTAATAAATAGAAAAAAAAATAAATAAATATATAGATTTTATCAAGAAGCTGTTATTTCAGATTATTAAATAATTCCATCAATGCGACGATCTTTCCACCCTATAATTTAATTAAATGAATTATTTAAATCTAAATATAAATTTTTACATACCAAATATTTCATTAAACGTGAGGCAATGCCGCTAACTGAATGTTGTTGATCATTATTAATGTCATCATTCTAAAATGAAAAAAAGAAATAAGAATGTTAAATATCTATTATAAATAATAATTTACAGTTTGTGTTCCTTCATCTATTTGTTTGTATGTATTATTTAGAATAAGACAAGCAAGTACAGTTTCAGTTTGAATTGCTAAATGAATAAATTTTCTTATTTAAATCAATCAAAGAAAAAAACATTTTACCTTGTGTTTGTGTACGTTTTACGCCTATTCTTCGACTAGGACCAAGTCGTTTAATATCATTAGTACCCAAAGATCTTGGATGAATACTATATAGACAATAAATAAGGAATCAATGGTAGAATTTTTAAGAAATATAATTTTTACCGAGCTGGTGTTTGAATATGTTTAACAAATTTATCCTTTGTAAGAGCAGGCATTGTTTTGAATGATAGAATAGAAAATCAGTCTATATAAAGTGTAAAGAATATATGAGACTAAAGAAAAAGAAAATAGTCTATAATATATATAACCAGTGATAAATAAGACGAAAAGTATGTTCAAATAGGCAGAGACATCTAATAAATTTAAATAGAATTCTGTAATGAAGTTCAAATAGTAGATTTTTTCGAACATACTAAGTTTTCGTAGCAACAGGAAATTTTCGAATTAATCTTTTATGTACAATAGAAAACTTCGGGTCTATTCTTATGTTAAAGCGTACAATGTTTTTAGAGAAAATCTCTTATCGTGTCTCATTTATTTCCATAATTTTTAGTTACACCATTTTTCATCAGAAAACTAAAATGATTTGGAGATTTTTAAGATTTTAAATGCTCACAGATAATGTTGACCTGAGTCTTTTAAGATTCTCAATTAAAAACTAGTCATATTTTAATGTAAATATACCCATTAGAGTTCCAATTTTTCGAAAAATTAATTAATTAAAGGGGAAGGACCTTCTATTACGTCCAGTGCATCGTTTCTCTAAGTAGGGGATTTCGTGATTGTGTAAAACCGACTTTTCAAAACAAAATTTTATGCATTTTTTTATGGGAAACTTTAAGCAAATAGTCTAGAACCAGAAACACAACTGCAGCTGAATGTGTCGGCCTGAAAAATGTATCAAGAACAACTTCCCTTCTTAATCTGTCATGAAGTTGAATGATGGCCTTCGCAACTATTTGAATCCATTAACCGTAGATAAGAAGAATAAATATGCCTTTAATGATGATGAAAGTTTAGATCACTCAACAGTATTTTCTTCCATGATCAACACAAAAAAACAGCTGCGATCAAAAGAAAAAACTCTTTGAATGAGAAACAGATAAACTAAATAGCACAATGACAACGTTGAACAATAGTGTCGATAATAGTTTTATGTTCATTACGAAAAGTGATTCAACAGTCGAATGCTTGAAGCTACAAAAAAACACTTAATAGACATAGTATTACCGAGTGAAAACTAGATCTTCTCCAACAAAAATATTGAAATTGATCACTTTCATGCGTAGTTATATGTACTATATGACTTAGATTTAGCTTAGATGAAATAATCAACAAGATCAGCTTGTCTGTTCCTTAGGAACTACATTAACAATGCAAATTTTTCAACAATAAGTCACGGACTAAAATTAATAATGCAGTTCTTGCAGCCAAATTCGGTATTTCTGCATTGACAGCGTTGATACGATTAATTAAATTAGGCATACATTGTAATATTGTCTTAATAGCTTGTACAAAACAATCGTAAGTCGACAAATCTTTTTCAGCAATTGTCAACAATCGTAACCAATTCAGTGACGGTTTATTAGAACCTTTATTTATGACGTAACACGACGAATATGAACTAAAGACTAAATTTTTCAGTGTATTACAATCCTTTTCACAGTTTTGTAGTGATGATACTAGAGTTTTCTGTAAACAGTTCATCATTGAATAAACCCACATTTATGCAGTCGAACTAAATAAGTCTATATTATTAACAAATTTGTTACAGTACTTTCGATCGGCAACTAAGAGCATATTCATCTAAAGTACACGGTGTCTTTGTTCCATGCAGTTCGTATATGTTGATGGGTTCAAATACGTCGATGAACGCATTGAATCTGATGTACATTGACTATTGCAGCTTTTATCACAAATGTTGGTATCACACGTATCAGATCCGTATTTATCAACATTAACCTGTGATTGTAAGACATTATCGGCAAGATTGGAAACATCAATTATAATTTGGATTATTTCAGATTGTGTACCAACCGGCATCGTTAGGTTCATTCATGATGTTGCTCCTAATGTGAAATTAAAAGCATTCAATCCAAGGCTATTCATACTCTGTGATACTGTCCGGTAATTTCCTGTACTCGAACGCAGTGTTAGACTAAAGTAATCGTTAAATTGTGAACTAATATAGTCACCAGGTACTTCTTCTGTAATAAACTGATATTTAACATAGACCTGAGTCACACCTGTTGCATTGTAAAAGAAGCAGTTTGTGTCTGTACGTTATAATCGTTATTCCTATTCATAGCCAGTCACTAACTATTTTTATAGACCTGCCGTCGTTTTCTAGCGCTGTTACCGCTGATAAATGGTATCAATGTCATGGTTATAGCAATAATAGATGGTTGCACACCGTCTAGACTAATTTGATTATAATCAGTACGAGCAAAAAGCGATACAGTTGTCGGTAGTACGTTTTCAAAAACGACGATACCAGAGTTATTGGTAACACCATGTTGACTAATACGAGCATCATCTGAAAGATTCATTTGAACAGAGACACTGGATGCTACGATTTCATTTGCAAAGAAAAGACGGACTGGTATTGATATTTGATCGAAATAAAGATCGAATGCTGTAAAATTTGGTAGACCAAAGATATCTTTTGCAATCAGGCTGAATAAAACTGCTTCATTTGCGGGAAAACCATTAACAGTTGTAATGTTGTCATTCCTACTCGTAGTATTAATGCTAGTTAATATAGTACTGTTCCCAGCGGTGGTGTTGATTGCGCTATCATAATTCGTAAATAAAAAGTAATTTTTAGTCGTTAAGATTGAATGGAATAGTTTCAAAGTGAAAGGAACATTTGCTTTGTTGAACCCATATTCATTAATTCCACCTGATAGGGTTATTGTGCTTAGCGATAACCCCATATTAGAGCTGTTAGAACTGCTACTTGTTGAAGTAATTGTGGTCAATGAAAAATTTGTAGTTGTTACTGTTACTGATAGAAGACCTGTATAGATTGATATACATAGAAACTAATATTACAATCTCAATGCTTCAAGGTTGTGACTTATTTGTAATTTTGTTGTGATTTTTTGGTTAGAAGTACAACTGTTAATACATTTGCAACAACGATAGCTGCAATTATAACTGTTTTACTAATAGTCAGTATTGTTAATCGAGTCATTGACAACATTATATTATTTAATGCCTGTAATTCAAACAAGAAACCAGAAAATCAGGAACATTAATATTTTTCTTTTCACTTGATCTAATTCATAAGCTTTACCGAACACTTCTTTTTCCATGAAAATATGAGTCTTAGCCAGGAGAAAAACAAACAAACTTATCATTATGATAGACTTTTGACTACTTTACTTTCTTTGTAATAAAAATTTTTTTACAGTACTCATGATTTGTATTAGTAACTCTACCTATTCCATTCTTCGAATACTTCTATGGCTTTTAGTTACAAAAAGTTTTATCAGAAAACTAAAACAATTTTGAGAATTTGGAAAGAGATTTTAAATGTATAGAAATAACATTGATCCGAATTTTTTCAAATTTTCAACTGAAAACTCTGAAAGCTAATCTTATTTTACTGTAAGTATACTAATTAAACTTCCAAATTTCGAGAAATTAATTAGTTAAAGGAGAGAGGGAGTACGTTAGATGCATTTTGTTTTTTTGTATTATAATTATGTTTTAGATAGATCACTTTTATATTAGTCTCATGATGTAAATATAGACAACAATTTTTATTCGACATTGATTATTTTTAATTGACAAAGTAAGTACTAAAAAAGTTATTTAATGTATCGATGGAAAAAAAACTTTATTAATACTCTATGAAACACATGTTATAACTTGTGGCATTAGAAATTTTAGTTCTTTTTTCCTCGATAGGATTTTATCAAAAAACACTGATATTTTCGTCCTTAATGACAATTTAGTATTTTAATGTGTACAAACAATATTAATACCAATTATAAATAAGAAGAATTATTGATCTCTAGCATGTTTAGATTGACTAGGCTTCGATCGAATAGAAATAAATTAAAATTTTCATGATAATTGATTTATACAGTTTGCTATCTATGAAAAAAAAACAATGTTCGGGTATTTGTTTCGTAGATTATTATAGATAAAATAAGAGATTCAACTGAATTGTAGTCATTCTAATTAAAACAATCAAAGCTTTGAAATTAAATCACTGTCATAATATTTTTGTTCTAATAATACACCATTTTTATCTGACTTTCTTGATCAAATGCATTTGGGAATCAGACAAGAGTAAATTTGTTTTTCTCGGGTTATTTCATTCGGTTGATTGAAATATTTACATCCATCTTTGATATAAATATAAAGATTAGATTTTGATTAGTTTATGTACATTATCTATCAAAGAAAACAATTTAATAAGAAAATTTCTATATACAAGACATGCTTTTTATCTCAAGAGCATATATCAATAGTTACTTTAAAAACCAAAAAAAAAAGAACTTTATGCAATAGTCAACTGCCTAATATTGAGAAAGGGGCAACAGACTTTTTTAAAAATTAGAGATTAAATTTGCATTTTTTTTTCGCGTAGATGTGTCAAATGAATATAAATAACTATAGAAGATCTTCAAAAAATTGTAATTTTGTGTACAAGAGTACTCATCATTCAAGATTAGTTATTGCTGTATAAATATACAGTCAATCAATGCTTATTTGAATATATTATTAGTTCCTTTTTTTTTCTCTTAGTCAATTATCTCGTGGATCAAATCAGAATGATGACAAATGAATATCTTTGCATAGAATAAACATTTTTCAATTTACCGAAATTGTTTTTTTTTTTTGTCAATAGTAATCATCATTTATTAGAAGATTATTAATAGAAACTAATTATTACGTATATTCAAAAATAGAGTTATAATGTTTAATCATTTGTATAAGAATGTAATAGATGTATTAAAGAATAATATTTCAATACATTTGACTATATAATGTTGAGTAGGTTCTGTGAGATTCTTTTTTTTATTGAGAAGAACATACAAATGAAGGATTTCCTTCACTCTAAAGGAAAAAAAAGTATTAAATATATCTCATTTAATCGAGTGTCATCAAATTTCTATATTACATTCTCATGCTGACATTTTATTCGATCAAATTACTACCAGATATATTCTCTTTAAGCAAAATATGTCTGTTTGGTATA